TACAAAAATAGGGGTTACTCCCTATATTTATAGATTTAGGTTAGCTTGCTCCCTAAGCCAAAGGCCAAAACTCTAAAAGCTCAACATACCTATTTTAGAACTAAATCAAATCTATCTATTTTAGATCTAAGTCAAATCTATCTAAATCTAAAATTAAATTAAATCTGTGTGTAACAAACTGTTTCCACACTTCTAAATCAAGTTAAATCTTTTCGACATTCCCTTGTCTCTGTCGAACAAACTACTTCTACACAAGGAATTACTTTCAACAGGCCTTTCAAATGCACTTTACTCTCATGTTAAAAAACAAAGTTGGACTCCAATTCAAACACCAAAAAATATTTTAAAAAAAGAAATTGATAATAATATATTTTGGTTAATCAATAATGAATAGTCTTTTTCTATTTTTAATGTTCAAACCTTTTGAATGTTATAGAAAAGAAGGCGCAAAAAGCAACCATCGTTAATGAATCTTTCTTCACTACTACAAAACATGAAGAGAATTTCTTATGACACCCTATATAGGGGAAAAATACCTTATGTAAACCCAAAAATTCCCCTCGGAGATACATTTCCGGGGCGCACCCTTCGCTTATTCACTTAGGAAAATTTTTGTGACTCTCTTATTTAATGTAAGAAACATACCAGAAATGTAACACCGGTAGAAAACCGAAGATATATATTCAGGAATTTTGTGCGGGAAAAACCAAAAAAATTGCCACCTATAAACTAAATATACATTTCTGGTTTAGACTGCGAATACAAAAGCTTAAAACAGCAAGGTCCATGGGATATTGATCATGATCATTTTAAAAGGTGACCAAAATACTCTCCAAAAAATCCTCAAATTCTCAATACTATTTTTCACTCAAAATCAATATTCTTGTGGTGCATTATATTAAAAGGAACTAAAGGAAAATGAACTTAAGGTAAAGCTTCCTCTTTGCAATCTACATTAATCACATTAATCTGTTCATTTCATGAAAAAAATGTCACGTTAATACCGTAAGTATATTTCCGATTTTCAAATGAACTTAACCGAAAATGTACTTTCGGTTCCTGTAACTTCTTTTTCCAGCAACTTAATTTTCTTATTTTCTTAGGATATCTATTTGTTTAATTTATTTTTACATATTAGGTATGGTGTATTCCGATAATTATCCCAAAACTATTGTGTCTCGAGGTTTCTCGCCTATTCTTTCCCAAGGTGTTTCTCCTATTGTGTCTCAAGGTGTTTTGCCTATTGTTGTTTTGCCTATTATTATCAAGGTAGTCAATGTGCGGAAGTATTTTATAAATGAACAAGAATATGAATCTCGAGATGTCATGATATAATGGATTCATACGGAGGCCACCAAACTAGACTTTAGTGTTGTGATAGGAAGGTTCAATTATGGTTCGAATAGACGACCTACATTTGTGACATTGACATGTGAAAGAAGTGGGATATATATGCAGTATATCAAGAATTTTAAAAGAGATGATACTGGTTCAAGAAAATGCCAGTGTCCATTTAGGCTATATGGGTATCGGTTGGAAAATAATAATTGAAAGTTCAATGTCATAAGTGGTTTACATAATCATGATTTAAGTACAGAGTTAGCCGGTCATCCAAGTGCATGTCGCCTCTTGGCGGAAGAGAATAAATGTGTGTTTGACATGACACTAAATTTGGTTGCTCCAAAAAATATACTTGGCACGTTGAAGCGCAAAAGACCCGATAATATTTCAAACATTAGGCAAGTTTACAATCAGCGCTACCAAGCAAAATTGGCGCTTAGAAGGGATCAAACTGAAATGCAATAACTCTTGAAGCTTTTAGATGAAAACAACTATGTTTATAGGCACCGGAGATGTGAGGATGGAGTTACGGTAAGAGATATATATTGGACTCATAATGATTCCATTAAATTGTTCAATACGTTTCCTACCGTGCTTATAATTTATTCGACGTACAAGACCAATATGTATAGGTTGCCATTGTTGGAAACTGTCGGTGTTACATCGACTGGAATGACATATTCCATTGGTTTTGAATTTCTAGAGTGCGAAAAAGAGGACAATTTTTCATGATCTTTAGAGATTTTTCGTTCAATGTTAAAGGATCAAGAAAACATGTCAAAAGTCATTAATACCGACCGCGATACAGCGCTGATGAATTCTGTTGCGAAGGTGTTTCCGAGTTCTTCTGCATTACTTTGTAAGTATCACATTACTAAAAATGTGAGAAGCCGGGTAAAACGAGTGGTAGGGACAAGTCATATTGAGATTGAGGAGGGTAAACTAGTTAAGTCGAGCATTGTTGTGGAGAAAATTATGTCTGCTTGGAATATTATCATAAATGCATCTACTAAAGATTTATATGATGAAGCTGTTATACGTTTCAGGAAGGTGTGCTATAAATATCTCAATTTGTTGAAATAAGTTGAGACTACAACTTTGGGTCAAGTGAGGGAGAAGATTCTTTGTGCATGGACAGATCATGTTATACATCTTGGAAATACAATAACAAACCAAGTTGAGTCGGCTCATACATGTCTGAAGAATTGGTTGGGAAATAGCAAGGGTGACTTGTGTACGGGTTAAGAATCTGTGAACCAAATGATACTTAACCAACATAATGAAATTCAAACATCATTTGGTCGTAGTGTCACAGTGTTGGAACACAGGTTTAAAGACAACCTTCTCTATTCTCAGTTAGTTGGCAACGTATCACGATCAGCTCTTAATTTCATTTTTTATGAAGCCAAACAAGCCTCTAACTTAGGCTCCGATACCCATAAGTGTTGTTGCACAATTGTGAAAACATATGGTCTCCCGTATGCTTGTGTCATATCTAAAAAGGTGAAACTTGATAGCCCGATACGAATGGACGAAGTATGTAGTCATTGGAAGAGGTTTAGTTTTGAAGACGACAATATAATGAAAGATGGAAAGTCAAGTATCACAATATTGACATAATATGAAGTGATAAAAGAAAGATTTAGGAAAATTGATGACAACACAAAACTCCACACCAAAGAGCAAATGAGGAAAATCGCATTTCCGGAGACAACCGACTTGAAACCATCGTCTCAATCAGTTAAAAAAGGATCACCAAAAAAGGTCAAACCTACAACAAGTGAAAATTCTACTATGAGGAGTCCATCCTATTTTGAACACGTTGACAAACTTTTTCCCGATTCACCGACACCGAAATCTCAAAAAAAGGTCTTCAAAGGTGCTTGCATAAGCAAACCTCTAACTCTACCACCTCCACCGCCTCCACCAAAAATACCATTCATTGAGGAGATGCCAATTTTTATGCACAATCACATTGATCGGATCGTCAATGTTAGTGGCGACGACAATTGTGGTTCGGGCTATTTATACTTTACTCGATAAAAGTGAAGAGGATAACACACTTTTCCGCCAAACTCTTATCCAAGAGTTGAGGAGCGATAGAGATTTGTACACATAAGTGTACGGGGATAAGAATAAGTTTGAAGAAATATATAACGCTCTTGTACTATATATGAAAGCTATTGCACCAGAGAACAAATTGACGTGTTTCCCCGAGATAGGTTATCTCATTGCAAGTGCGTATGAGAGGGTGTGTATTAATCTTATAAAATACGGTTTCTCGGAAACTTTTTTCCCATTGCACACTGCTCCAACATCTAATTCAACTAATCGTATCATTTGTGTTAGGTGGGTATCAAATATCTGACATTTTGTTCAAGTGTATTTGAAACTGGGATGCCATATACCATCTACATCACCGCAGTGGATAAATCATTATACAGACCAATCTGAGACTTGGCCGAACCAGTTCATTGAAAGGATGCAAGAGTTCACTAAATTGAACAACATTAAAATAGAAAAAAACAAGGAAAGTAAAAGGGTGTACCACCGATGAATTTGTCGGGAGACAATTATTTCGGATCTTTTAAATAATTAAATATGACTTTGATTTATATATATTTTTGTTAATGAATTATGACGTGGAATATTCCCATTTTGGTAATGTATATGTCTATTATTATATTTTCATGCAATCTGCTCTTATTGTTAAGGTGTAAACTGGAAAATATATTTCTGGTTTATATTCAGTCAGCAAATAAGATGTGTGTGGTCCATAACATCCCCAAACTACTATATAGAAACGCATGTCTTTCCCTCATGTTATCTCATGTCTAAACACTAAAACAAAAAATGAATGACATGTTGGAAAAATTCACTTCCTTAACAGGGATCTACCATCAAGGGAATTCAAGACCAACATATATGAACTGCTTAAAGATCTTCATTACACAATAACGGGGACTCTTACCATTTAACGACAATCGAAATTTTTTAAAGATTAAGTACTGCTCTCCATCAATTAACAACGACAGAAAGCTTGAGTTCATCAACAAAGAGATAAAGGCAAGCACTGATTTACGGGCTATGTGAGAAACCTTTTTCGGTTATGACGAAAAAGTTCAAATCGAGTTTGATGTGATGATTACAAGAACGATCGATGAAATTTTGAAGTTGTTGCAATGTCCACCCAGATGTTGAAGTGTAATGTCACATATATGTTTAAATCTCATATGTATTGCTTACTTTATGTAATTTTATATTTTGTTTGAGAATCTTGATGTAACGTGTAAGTGTTACTTTCTTGCATTCTATAATAAATAATATCAGAAATACAATTTCGGTTATAAAATAGAAATACATTTTTTTATTTTGATTCTTTTTAATTAGATATTTAGTGCATCTTGGAAATACATTTTCATCCTAGAAATATTTTTCAAAATTCAAGCAGGTGCCTAAAAAACACCTTAAAAAATCCTAAACATTAATACTAATTGGGCTTTCCTTAAAGCCCATGTCACAACCCTTTATTATTTATTAATTAATTTATTAATTTATAAGTAGCCTATTAATTATTATTAATTTTATTTTCTTTTAGTTTTCTTCATTTCTTCATTGATTTGTTCATCGAGTCTCTCTCTCTCTCTCACACACTCATCATGGCCGAGGTACGCTCTTTCTCCGATTCTGCCTAAATCTCCATCGAATATTCATTTAGGTTTCAATTTTATTTTCTTTTTTCGCTTTTAAAATATTCTGATTCATTATCTTTTTTTTCGCATATTCACATGTTAATGTGTATTCTCTCGCTGATCTATTGAATCATTTTGTTGCCGTTAGGTATTTTTCCTTCCCGCAAGATTGTGAATTTGCATGATTTTTTTTAAAAATTTTATTTTTCAAAATTCCATGAAGGGTGTTTTTTTATTTTTTTATAATGAAATGATGAAAATAATTGTGTTTACCTAAAGTTTTTGTTTAGTATTCCGATTGGGAACCAAAAAATGATTGATGAGGTGATGAGGTGAAGTCTTGGAGAGGTGGAACAAATTCCCGGTTGCGCGTGGTGGACATGTTTTATCTTATTTGAGTTTTAATTTTAATGTAGCAGATATCTTTCTATCTTGTACTGTTGTCTTTTTCCTGTCTTGATATTGTGTTTCTTCCTTGTAGATTGAGCTAAAAACAGCACCTGTTGATTTTCGTTTTCCTACAACTAATCAAACCCGACACTGTTTCACTCGCTACATTGAGTTTCATAGGTAGATTTCCTAACTAATGGCTATATGATTCAGCAAAAAGCATGAAATAGTTCTTGAAGTCTCTAATTTAAGCCTGACTTTTATTACAGGTGTGTTACAGTGAAAGGTGATAACTCAGGCGAATGTGAGAAATTTGCCAAATATTACCGTTCTCTTTGCCCCGGTGAATGGGTAAGCACCTCTTAGCTTTTTCTTATAAGCAAGCATCTTGCAAATTTACCTTAATGTAAAGATTGATGTTATAGCAAAACTTGATAGTTTGTCTTGTACGCCCTCAAAGACGGCCCTGACTGTATGGCCATCGACGATTCACACACTCGTGTCCTATCTTGAATGAAGTTAACTTGTTCCAAGAGCCATAGTTGCTTGAAATTAATCTTCATGCTTTGTACTCGCAGCATTTTAGTTACATGATTTGTATTAGACGAATTGTTTGTGATCTCTCTTTTTTTTATGCAAACTATTGCAGGTTGAAAAGTGGAATGAACAGAGGGACAATGGAACCTTCCCTGGTCCTCTTTGAAAGTATGTGTGTTTGATACCTTCTGACTTTCTGAGAAATGAAATTTTTTTTAACATTTTGTTGGTTTGTTTTCTTAAATACATTTGAGATTATCTTCACCAATTCATGGTGTGGATCAATAATGCAGCCTATGATTTTCGTTGCTCCACAAATTATTGAAACCATTTTGCTTTTTAAGCTAATGTCATGGTTCTGATACATTACTTTCTCTGTTCAGAATAAATAGATTGCATTTTGAATAAGTAATGATTTTACTCACATTGTGATGGTGCATATGTACAGAAATAGTATTTAACGAACAGTAAGTTAATTAGTTATAAAAGACCAACTAAGTAGTTATTTGCACATTAACTAACTTTAACAAGTTACAATTGACAATCTGGCATTTGGATTAACATCCTATTAACATAATCCTTTTAATTCAAGTGCTTAGTACTAATCACACTAATCTTTCTTCTAAGTTCTTTAAATCTCTCGACTCTCCTCTCAATGTCGTGGTCATTGTCTGCAGTTTGAATAATAAAGTAGTTGGAATATATACTATTGTTTATGCAATAGTTGAAGTAACACAAGATTATGTTGGTCTGAAACTTTGGAAATTATATTTTGATGGTTCCAAACATAAAAATAAATATGGTATTGGAGTTCTGATAATTTTCCCCAAGGAAATCTCAACGAGGTTTAAATTTAAAATTATAGATTATTGCTCACATAATGATGCTGAGTATGAAACATTGATTGTAGTTTTCGAGACTCTTATGGACTTAGGTGCAAAAGGTGTTACATTAGAGGTAGTTCGGAGTTAGTTGTGAAACAATTGACAAAAGAGAACAAATGCATCAAAGATAATTTATTAATGTACTTTGTGAAAGTCAATTCGTTATTAAGAAGATTTGATGAAGTCAACATCAAATATGTTCTTCGAATCAAAAACCAAGAAGCTAATGATTTAGCACGAATTGCTTCTGGTTAGAGATTTTCTAAGAAAAAGTTAGAAGAATTAATTAAGGTAAAAGAGAAGTTGATTTCAACCAATCCCTTTCCATTTGAGTTATCAAAGTCAAAACTAGTGGGATAAAAGGGTTTGATGAATTACAAAACTCTGCACAATTTTTTGTCATTGAAAATCTGTTGTCAAATGATTGGTGAAAATCAATTGTTGATTTTCTGGAAAATCTCACAAAGGTGACAGATAGAGAAATCAAATATAAGGTATTGAGTTGTGTTATTATCGGAAACAAATTGTTTAAAAAGACTCATGGTAAAATCTTGCTTAAATAAATGCCTTAGCGAGAGTGAAGTTTATTTGACAATTTCTGATGTCCATAGTAAGTCATGTGGCGCTCACAAAGTAGGTCATAAGATGAAGTGACTTTTATTTTGACAATGTGTGTATTGACCAACTACGTTGAAAATTTGTATTGCTTTAGCGAAGGATTGTCAAGAATGTCAAAAACATGCAGGTATTCAACATGTTCCTGTAAGTGAGTTACACTTTATTGTTAAGTCTTGGCCATTTAGAAGTCGAACTTTAGATTTAATTGATATTCAACATCATCCAAGAGCCATAAGTACATTCTGTTTGGTATAGATTTTTTACCAAGTGGGTGGAAGTTGTTCCTTTAGTTAATGTTGATCAGGAAACACTAATTAATTTTATTCAAAATCATATTATCTACAAGTTTGGAATACGTGAAACTCTAACCACCAATCAAGGTACAATGTTTATTGGTCGAAAAATGGTTGAGTTTGTTTCAAATTCAGGAATCAAACTTCTAACGTCTACTCATTATTATGCTCAAGCGAATGGCCAAGTCGAAACAACTAACAAAATTATAATTGGCCTGATTAAAAAAAATGTTGGTCAAAAGTCAAGAAATTGGCTTAAAATTTTAGACCAAATATCATTGGTTGTTCGAAATTCTTCTAAAGAAGCAACTAATATCACTCCATTTGGATTAATATTTGATCATGATACAATTTTGCCAATCGAAATTAATTTATAGTCAACTAGAATTCAAAGGCAAGTTAAAATTCATTCCGACCATTTTAAAATATGGTGTTAGATGAATTAGTTGATTTATACAAGGAAATATTAGTTACTCAAAACGTTCTTATAAGACAAAAAGAATGAATAGCTAAGGCCTACAATAAAAAGGTTAAGTTGGAAGCCTTTACAGTTGGTGATTATGTTTGAAAAGTTATTTTCCTCATGGATCGAAAAGATAGAATTTTAGATAAATGGTTATTAAATTGGGAAAGCCCATTTCAAACTGCTCAAGTGTTTTTAAATAACGTCTATTAAGTTAAAGAGTTGGGTCCTGAAGAGCGAACCTTGAGAATAAATGGCAAGTACTTAAAGAAGTACAAACCTACATTGCAAAAAATTCAAATAATAGAAGAATAATGCATAAGGAATGTGTAAGAAAAAGAAGTGTTTATACATATGGCCTTAAGATTTTGATGATAACTTTACACAGTATTATAAAGAACAATTGTATACTCTAATAATTTCGTTCTAGTATGTAGATGTTGTTGTAATATTCCAACTCTGATATCTAGGCGTGTAACGTCATTAAATTCTGAACATAAACACTACTAGAAGAAAACATTTGATTACGTGTTACAGTTAAAGTCAAGATTCTGGAATTCATCTTATGCAATGGTTCTTAGGAACGTTAATACAAGAGGTTCTGATCGTGACTTTGTGGTTAAGCTTTGGAGAGCCTTCTAAAAGCTTTACTTATGTGTGTTCCAAGTTGTGAAGATTATGAAGACAAGATTCTGTTGAACAAGTTTTGATGATCTGAAGAAAAACAAGTTCTTATGACCAGGTGCTAAAGACTCTGAAGACAAGATTCTAATGAGACAAGTTCTAAAGACTCCAAGACTTAGGTTCTAAGACTTAAGAGTGATTCTTCTACAACAAGCTTCAAACATTCAAATTATCTGAAGCTTTTAAAGTTTAGGAGAAGTTCAAAATGGTTAATGTGTGATGGTGTACAAAAGGTACAAAAAGTGCTCCGTGACCTCTACCTTCTAGGGTGACGTAAGGACAGTCCTTTCATACTATAATGTATACCACTCTCATTATGACCGCTGGGAACAAACAACTGGATTTCCAATTAACTTTCTACCCCTTCAACAGATTTCTTTTACAAGTTATAAAAGGAAGACTTGGAAGCTGAAGAAAAGTAAGAATCAACATTACAATGAAAAATCTATCAGATTAAGCCAAGCTCAAACAAAACTACACCAAAGTGTTGTGCAACTCTTTAGAGAAATCTCCTGTGTATAGTTTTATAAATAGACAAGGAGTTGTTGCTCGTATATTGCTGTAAAACACTCAGGTGTTTTTCTTTATACTGAAACGTTTGTGTAATCTGCTTAAAAGAAGCAAACTATAATACACTGAAAGTATTCAACCATTGTTGATTGATTCCTTGAGTGACCAGGTGAAGTTCTGATCTCAAGAAGACTCTTGCTGCAATTTGAGTGGATTTGCAATAAGGATCAACTGACTTATTAGGGGTGCCAATAAGGTTTATCTGACTTATTGTGGGTTGGATATAATCGATTTGGTTATAGTGGATTAAGTCCTTATTGAAGGAAAATCACCTTGAGGGATGGACTAAAGTAGCTTAGTTAATAGTGAACCAGGATAAAAATAATTGTGTTAATTTACTTTTATGTTCTAAGTTAACTTGGTCTTTCATCAATGAAAAGATTTAAATTATTTTGGTGAAACTCAATTCTAACCCCCTTTCTTGTGTTTCTCACACCTTTAATTGGCATCAAAGCTTTGGTTCTGGTATTGATAGTTATCAAACACTTAATCGTGTCAGATAAAGATCCAGACAATTTTTTCTTTGAAGAAACACGGTGGTTGAACCCACACCAACTAATGTTGCTTCAGATTCAAACGATAAAAGCTATAATGTAAAACCTCCCATCTTTGATGGTGAAAAGTTTGAATACTGAAAAGATAGACTAGAAAGATTATTTCTAGGTCATGATGTTGATCTTTTGGATTTGGTAGTTGATGACTACGTACCTCCCAAAGACGCTATTGGAAAAGAGATAGCTAGAAGAGCTAATGACTGATCAACAAAAGAAAGATTATAAGAATCATCATAAAGCAAGAACCATCTTGCTGGATGCTATTTCTTATACTGAGTATGAGAAGATCACAAATAAAGACTCAACTAAGTCTATATTTGATTCTCTTAAAATGACTCGTGAAGGAAATGATCATCAAAGAAACCAATACGTTGGCCTTAATTTAGAAATATGAAGCCTTCAAGATGAAGGATGATGAAAGTGTTGAAGCCATGTTCTCAAGATTTCAAACCTTATTTGCAGGACTGAGAGTTTTGAACAAACGATATTCAATAACATATCATATAAAGAAAATTATCAGAAGCTTGCCATCTAAATGGAGGCCTATGGTAACTGCACCCAAGCTTGTAAAGGATTTGAATAACACTTCTCTAAAAGTACTGATAAGTTTCTTGAGAAGCCGTGAAGTTGACCTAGATCAAGATAAACCTCAAAAGAATGTAAAATCTATTGCGCTCAAATCTGTCAGAATACATGAGAAGACCAAGGCTCTTCAAGCAAAAGAGATTGAGGATTCAGAAGGAGATTCTGATGATGAAGAAGATGAGTTGTCTCTATTGTCTAGACGGGTTAACCGTGTCTAGAAGAGAAGTCAAGACAATAGTTTCAGAAGTTCAAGAAGGACTGGAGGTCGCTTCGAATAAACTTCTGGTCAAAGGAAGTCTAGTGGCAACAAAGTCACTTGTTATGAGTGCAATGAGCTAGGACACTACAAACTTGTTTGTCCTAAGCTTATGAAGGACAACATCAAGAAGAGATCTCTCAAAGGAGAGAAGAAAAGGCAAATGGTAACAAGGGATGAATCAAACTTAGAAGAAGAACATGCTAACATGGTGCTGATGGCTCATGTTGGAATATTCAATAAAGTAATATCTCAAGAA